GTGAGTATCCTGTGAGGAAATATTTTTATACCAAGCAAATCAGGTTTCCTATCACACTTGTATCCACTAATTTGGCACCCAAAAATGTTTCTTATAATTCTTATAAAAATTATTCCTATGGTGTTGCCTACTGATCTTTTTTCCATTGCTACCATTCCTTTTACATTTCACAGAGATTCCACTGCATATAGGATTCTCCTGGGTATTCTTACTTAATGGAGTAGAACACATTTTGTCATTATTTGGTTGTTCAAATTGTGTTGCCCAAGATTTAGCCATCAAAAGCAAGTTGGTTCTTGAATCCTTTCAAGATGCCCCTCATCCACAATATATTTATCTTCTCATTCCTCATGTACACATAACATAGTTTCCAAACCTACAGCTGTGAAAAACAAATTGACTAACCAGACTCAATGTGTGTGTGCAGTTCCTTTATGGCAGCCCACCACAATGCTGTAACTCACTTGAGTTACTTTTTCCTTCCCCCGCCAGTGTGGTTGTATTATTCACTTGAAATACAGTTCATTCATTCATTACTAAATTCCATTTTGAGCTCTCCTCAAAACCTGTTTGATTTTTTCTATATTCCATGTGAATGAGATTCGTGGTACTTGTCTTTCTGTGCCTTTCCTGCATGTTTTAAATCTTCTCTACATCCTGCTCAGACTACTTATTTGGCCCACCTGTGTCCCACCCCTCTGGCCTTCCCACCTACATTCCATCACTGAAAGAACTATAAAAATGGGAGACAACCGCACTTCCACGGATTCCACCTCTTGGGTCCCCTTCTTCCTCCCGGAGAAGTCTTTTCTGCTGTCCTTTAATAAACTTCTAATTTCTACTCTGAAAAAAAAATCTTTTCTACATATAATACTTAGCACACATAAATGCTATATAAAAATGCATAGTAACATATGGAAACATTACTATGGCTCTAAGACTCATAGTTATACAGATATATTGAGTAGTGTCCCATCTTCTTCTTCCTTTATACCTTGATATCTCTCTCTCTCTCTCTCTCTCTCTCTCTCTCTCTCTCTCTCTCTCTCTCTCTCTCTCTCTCTCTCTCTCTCTCTCTCTCTCTCTCTCACACACACACACACACACACACACACACACACACACACCGCCTCTTTCCCCTCTATTCCCACCCACCCTCCATAGGTAAATAATCTCATTCATTTCTGGGTAATCTGTGCTTGTTTACTTTGCACAGATGAGCAGATTCATGTATCTTGTCTTATATTCTTGTCTTTCTTACACAAAACATAACATATACTTATTACACTTTGGGTTTTGCACTTTTAACAATGTATCTTGAAAAGAACTCATGAAGATCTTTCTCCTTCTTTACAACTAAAATGACCTGTCAAGATTTATTCAGTCCCTTATATAGGGACATTTATGTTGTTTTTACTATTTGTGATCACAGCATGATAATGAAAAACTGCATGCATATGTGCTTTTTATGGTTGGAGTTGTATCTTCAGAAAAAATTCCCAGAAGTTGGGTCAAAGGATGTTTTTGTAATTTTATCAATACAAGCCCTCCATGTGCATGGGTTCCACATCTATGGATTCAATTGCATATCAACATTTTTCTTCAAAAAAAAAGAAAATTGTGTCTGTACTGAACATATACAGATTTTTTGTTATTATTCCCTAAATAATATATGATAACAACTTTTTACATAGCATTTACATGTATTAGGCAATATAAGCAATCTAGATATTATTTAAAATATGCAGGGAAGGCACAGAAAGACAAGTACTGCATGATCTCAATTGTGAGGAAAAAAGTTGATTTCATAGGAATGTAGAAAAAAAGTTGATTGATTGGGAATAGAATGTTCTCAAAGCTGGGAAAGAGAAACAGAAAGGAAGGGATGTGGAGATTGATCAATGGGTGAAAAAAAATCATAGGAATAAGAACTTCAGTTATGTTGTTATATAAATAGATGTGTATAGCTAGTGATAACATACTGTATATTTCAAAAAGCTAGGAGTTTGAATGTTTTCATCATAAATAAGTGATAAATGGGGGCTGGGGCTGGGGCTGGGGCTGGGGCTCAGTGGTAGAGCACTTGCCCAGCATATGTGAGGACCTGGGTTGGATCCTCAGCATCACATAAAAATGACCAAATAAAATAAGGGCATGCTGTCCACCTACAACTACAAAAATAAATGATAAATGTTTAACCTGACTTAAACATTACACAATGTTCATATGTATCAAAAAAAAAACTGTGCTACCCTACCATTATAATGTCATCACATGTTAAATTTAAAAAATAAAAATAAATACAATAAAATATGGAAGAGCAAGCCAGCATGGTGGTACATGCCTATACTTCCAGCTATTCAGGAGGTTGAAGCAGAATTGCAAGATTCTATCTCAAAATAAAGTTTTTTAAAAAGACTGGGGATATAGGGCATTGACAGAGCAGTTGTCTAATATGCTCAAGGTCCCAGATTCAATCCCCAGGACAATTTTTTAAAAGTGCAAGAGGATGTTATATAAGGGACTTGAACATCTACAAATTTTGGTATCCCAGGGGGTTCTGGAAGTAACATACAAATTCCCCTACAGAAGGAGTTATGCTAGTCAGTTTTCCCTCATTGTGAAAAACAGCTAAGATAATCAACTCTAAGGAGGAAAGGTTTGTCTCATCACTTAAGAGGTTTCATTCCATKGTCACTTGGTCACATTCCTTTGGGTCTATGACAAGGCAATACGTCATGGAGGAGTATGTGGTGGAGAAAGCTGCTCACCTCCTGGCAGCCAGGATGCAGAAAGCAACCAGGGTCCCAATAGCCCTTTCAAGGGCACACAACCTGGCTCCTGTCCACTAGGACCCACCTACTAAAGGTTCCACCACCTCCCAATAGTGCCACAGGCTGATGATTAAGTCTTTAAARCACAGGTCTTTGGGGGACATTCAAGATCCTAACTGTGGTAGGTGGTTTCCACTTGCATTTCCACCAGCAATGAGAAGGGCTGCTTCTCTGCAGCCTTGCTTAACAGGACATGCTGAAATACTTTCTTAGCTTTCAGCAGCCCAATAACAGATACTAAATGGTATTACATGGTGCTGGGGACTGAACCAAGGGGCTTGAACTTGCCCAGCAAGTGCTCTTCTACTGAGCTCCATCCCCAGCCCCCTCCCAGTATCATTTTACCTCGGATTTCTCTAACCATGAGTTTAGATATGTTTTTCATTGTTTATGGTTCATTTTTATATATTTGAGTGTGATCATTTTTTTCTATCAGGTTTTTAAAAAATTACTTTGCTCCTTAATTTTTAGTTTACTTTTTGTAGTAGGAATATTAACCTTCTGTCTAGAACATACACTGCAAATATTTTCTCCAAGTCTTTTTGACTTTATGGTGTTTTTTGCCAAATATTTTTTTTCCTCTCTTTATGTAGTCAGACTTACTTACCAACCTTCTAGTGCCACTGGATTTTTCAGGTGTTAGTATTTGTATGGTTTCATTTTCGTATTTGTATGGTTTCATTTTCGTATTTGTATGGTTTCATTTTCGTACAGAGCCAGGTCCATTTGGGAGTCCAACCTTCCACTGCTATAAAGTATGGATCTAATTTCAACTTTTTCCAAATGACTTTTGAGTAGGCGAAGCAACATTTATTAAAAAGTCCACTTTGTCTTATGATTTGAGAAGCCACCTCTCACTTCTCACCCCCAAGAAACCCCAAGGGAGCATCTGAGCCATGAGCAAGGCAAACACAAATCTTACCTGAGCCAATGAGATCCCAGTAATGTGGACCAGTAAACAACTGAGAAAGATCTAAGGACAGGGGGAAAGATCACCGAGGTCATGATGTGACGGGAAGGAAAAACAGCATCCCTAGGAAGCTGCGCAGGGATTAGCAGAGGGAAAMGAGGGCTCCAGACAACAGCAGAATCACTAGTCCCCAGCGATGCCTCAACTCAGCTCACCTGGACCACTGCACGAAACACTTCCAGCAGAAACGGCCCACAGCAAGCAAGCATCTGAAATCCCCAGATATACCCAAAGAAACATACGGCCGAGACAAAGGAGGAACTCTCAGCAAGTTAAAAAAGATTTATTGCCAATTCAGGCTTCAAATAAGCCTGGCATGTGGGGCTGTCCATGGTTCAGAAAGCTATCACAGCACAACAGGGTAGTGGACAAATCCAGGCAGCCTGACCTAAAATCCACCTTCTCTTCATCAGATCTCTGCTGCACAAGGCAGCTGCTGGAGTGGCCAATTCTTCAGCATCAGTCCCTCA